CCTGTTTACTTAAATCAAGAGAAGAAATGTTCAAGAAATATTATTGAGCGACATGAAGGAGGGGCGATTCTGTTCTGTCCATATTTAGCTCAATATACATTTACTTAAGTACGACTTAGACGTACGTCAAAATATACTTATTCGTCTTAGACGTACTTAAAATGGTCCTAGGGGAGTTAATTCCCTTCTTCTGCGGGGGTAAGGTCAATACTTCCTCTCTCACGTGCTCCTTCGTCTTCAACCATGCTGCAGAGGCACTTCCCATGTATTTTTATTGTTTGTGGCAATACTATTGGAGTTAAAAGTGGTGAAGTCAAGAAGAAGTGGTGAATATTATCATATCCAATAGAATTGGTTCACACAAAAATTGAGCCTACTGATTGGTCAAAACTCCAATGTCCGAGAATTCGATCATGTCCGAGAATTCGATCATTTACCTTAAACGAAAATGGTCGTCGGTAGTAAAAATAGGACATTTGAGAAAATGAAGTATATTTCAAGAAATATCCATCGATTCAACCCAATAGTACGGAGTCATAGCACCATTGGTCTCAACCACGGCCACACAGCGTCTCGGCATCGATTCCACCAAGCGTTTCATTACGTTGAGGTCGATTTTCGACCACGCATCCTTGATTGCCGAAATGAGATCCTTGACGTCGTGGCATTGCTTCCCGTTGGCGTAGATGATTCCCCACAAGTTCTCAATAGGATTCAGGACGGCGAACAACGCTGGGTGCTCGAACATGGTAACATTTTCTCTTGAAGAAACTGCATTGTCACTTTCGATCGGTGGATCGAGGCGCCATCTTGCATAAAGATGAATTCGTCCCCGTACAAGAAGTGGGCAAAAGGGAAGAGGTAGTCCTCGAGGGTCCAAATGTACTTGGCAGAGTTCTGGTTGCCTTCCAGAAACGCAATCTCGCTCGCCCCGTCAGCAGAAAATGCCGCCCAAACCATGACACTTCGTCCCCCAAACTTGCGAGAGACGAAGGACTCCTTGTCGAAACGGAGGTCACGCTAGTAGCATTGTATGCCGTCAGGGCCGTCCAAGTTGAATTTCTTCTCATCAGACCAAATGATCTTGGCCCAGTCGGGGGGGGCTCCAGGCATATTTGAGGCGCGCAGCAATGTGCGCCTCTGTAAGCATTGGGGTCGTGTTGCGCTTGAGTACTGAAACCGCACGTTTTCCTTAAGCATTTGTCGGACACAGCGCGCAGACACAGGCAAATTGAGGTCACGAACAATGGTAGTGGACGTGGAATCTGGCTTGGATGCAGTACGCTAGATGTGACGAATGTCCGTAGGAGACAGCTTAGACGGGCGGCCGCGCCCAAAGCGCGTTCCATAGTTGGTTGGGTCCTTAAGGAAGTTTGAAATTGAAGTGCGAGAAACGCCCAGGCTCTTTGACATGAATTGCACAGTTTATTGGTTTTGCTTCCACACCACAATTTGTCTCTTCTGGAATTCGTTCAGTTGCGGTCCTCGGCCCATTCTGCGTGCGTGAGGGTCGTGAAGAAGAGGAATACTATCGATGCCTGAGTTCCTGGGTCGATTGGTATAGTACTTTGCACTTTAGAGGACGATGAGTGGAATGTCTTATTAAAAGGCTAGTCAGTGGCTATACCGGTGTAAAGGATAAGACAGCTCCTATCGGGAGTTCCACCTAGTAGTGCTAGTTGTTGGCAAACGATGGATCTATTTATAGTGGCAATACGTTCGGCAATACATAGGAAATGTCCAAATTACCGAATGTCTTAACATTTATTCCCGCACTGTACGACAGGTGTCCATCTACTGGTGGTACTTACTCCGGAGTACTTACATTGTCCTTTTACCCAAAATTTGGACTTTTGTGCCAAATCTATCGATCGATTCTTTGTCATGTAAAGATCGTCCAGTATCACACTTATTTCAGTCACACACCAATTCGGTGTTGAATTGGTCGAAGAGTGAATTTGATTGGCCACTTGATTAGTGTTCTTGGCCGATCAATTGTCTGCCGATTTGGACCCCCTCCAATTTCGAATCGACTTGACAATATGTAGTGTAACCAAGTCAAGGACCTGACTTGTTTCTTAGATCGTCCTTTGGGTAGAATTTTTGATAACCCACAATTTACAGTTAGGGTGAGTCTGGATGTTAATAAAAAGGCCAAAATTTTCGATATTTTGGCAATTTCTAAGAAATTGGCAAAAAATAAAAGATTATCCAAATTTGAGAATCTATATTTTGCCACTTATAGAGTTTTACGCCGAATAATGGGATATTTTTTCTGAAAGTTGGCAAGAACTGAGAATCGTCGAGTTTCTGTCGAAATTTGTTTGATCCAGACAGTCAAAAATACTTCGAAGTAGGTGACAACCAAATTCTTCAATTACTTTGAACCAAATTTTCGAAATATTAATATATATATTGGGCAAAACTGGGTGTGTGATCCAGACCCACCCTTTGACAATAGTTGTTCCGAGTCGACAATTATTAATTTTCTGTTTATTAATAATATACGTATACTACGGGATGCGTTTGCATTGAAATTATATATTGAACACCCAAAATTAATTTAAATATTTATTTCCCCTGCTCTGCTCTCGATGTCCGATCGCAATGATAGCCCATGGTTCAACGAAGCAATAGCACTTGAAAGCAATTGGTCATTTTCGAGCTATGATGCTTTAGGCTACACTACCATAGCCCGGCCGATCGTAGTAAGTGTTTCAGTTTCTACTCGAAATTTCCATGCTCGATTGGTTTAACAAACAGTTGGGCGGTTTCAGAGCCGATCAAAACATCTGTATTAGTACTAGTATAATTTATATATTATATATATAGAGGTTCCGTTGAGCACGAGAAGGTGCAAGCGAACGCCGCCACCATCACCGATATTGGTAGGTTCAAGGAAACTACGTACGCCACAGCGCACTCCCATCGAGAGCAATCACGTGTGCACATGTACCCCGAACGCAACCGTACTACAGTAGTACTTGATTTTTGTTGCCCCACCCGTCTACTGGACTTGCTAAACTGTGCGCTTATGTACCGGTAGACTTGAGTAACGTGCTTCATGAAAACTTGAGACGTAGTACTTGTTTGCATGCGAACCCGAGACTATAGACGAATAGGAAGTAGTAAACTGTGTCGGCGATCACGCTGTCGTGTCGCGCAACTTTCACACTGTCAGTTCCTGCTGTTCATTTCCCGACTCAGGGAAATACTGTTTGATTGGATGAATTAAGGTATTTTTGGCGAATCAAATCGTGAGGTTGATTTATTGCCACTTCACGTCGAAGGGTCAAACCTCCCTAAAACGGCAAATTTCACCGGAATTCACAATAATAGTACTAGTAAGGTAATGCATCAATTATTGACACTGTTTTTGGTCAAATTTTGGCCATGACTTCAAATCCCAGTAACGTTAGCTCGAAAACGAGAACGATTACGTTTATGCTGATATCACCATTAAAATAGTAATTCTTCTTTTTACCCTTTCATTTTAGTATTACTATAAATAGTCACTAGTACTACTATTCTCGGTAACTACGTACGACTAGTATTATAGTACTACTGGTATTAATAGTATAGAGGATTAAAGTATTATCCATTTAGTATTACTAAGCCTTCCCTGTAAAGTGCGACGGAGTACTTTCCACCCACATTCACATACCATTCTGTTGACTGGGTAATCATGGCCACATCGCCGACGACCCCTGCGCTAACTCTGGAGGAGAAGGCGTGGTTCGAACAACGAACGAAAGATCTCCAGCAGTACAGCTCCATCGGTGCCGGAACTGGCGCCGTCGTCAGCGCGGCTGTCACATGTACGTGCCACTTGTTGTCTGCTTGTTGAGTCATGCACCATGTGCAGTCGTAGGACCATTCCCTCGACGATACCAGATTGCCGCCATCTTGGGGTCATCCCTCATCGGCAGTATATCAGGATACTTGCTAGCGGACTCCAAGTCCCTCGAAAGAATCAACGACTTGAGTGCCACATCGCAATTGCGAAAGCAACTGACCAAGATGTACGCCATCGGTTTTGATCACTCCTCCAATACATGATCATGTAGCAACCTCCTCACACTCCTATAGTCACCAAACGAAGAAGGCGGCGGAAGCAGCCACGGCCTCTGCCAAATCATCCTAGGAATGTTCACGTAACACGAGTTCGCTGTCGACTCTCTGTCCATCCATGACCCCTCCGTCGGTCGGACCTTGACCATCATCATACTCGAAGGCGCTCGCTCATTCACTCCCTCCTTACTTGCATTTTCGCAGTGAAAAATGGATATCTTTCATTACGTGCATTTTAGCGTTGAATATGCAAAAGCATCCACACAACCGCAAACGCAATCTTGTTCCGCCATGTCGTGGGATGATGATATGCACACATGGCTTAGTCGACGGCTTCAAACTGCGTAGCGCGGATCATTTCCTTGAAGTTGAACGGGTGAAACTTGCGTCCGTCGGCCTTGTAAAACTTGCTCTGGAACTCGACCCAGTGCAGACGCAGCGCATGCAAAAAGCACTCGAGCACGTCCATGCACAAGATCACGCTAAACGTCGTGGCCGCGAACAGCGTGAACCCGATGAAGATGGCCACGAACGAGTCCATGTTGATCGCCGACAGCATCGCCTTCTCGAAGAATACCGTCGACAGCTCTACAAAGCACACATATTGTTATTCTAAACTGCAGCGACATATCGAGAATGAATCCAAGAATCGACACAAGGATTTAGCCAATCAAAATGCAGAAAACCATCGTCGAATTAGTGTGTGACTTCAATTAGTGTGATACCACACGACACGTTTGTACATAGAATTGATCGATAGATTTGGCAAAGAATCAGCACAAAAGTCTAAATTTTGGGTAAATGGACGATATATTGTGCTTTCGAGTGAAATGTCGTGTTGTGGTTTCTCGTTGGAATTTAAATCGATTTGATTGGCTACCTCCGAAGAGCTCGAAATTATTAGCCAATCAAATCTTCTCAATGAAATTCAACCAATCAGATCGATTGTGGATCGGTTTGGTCGGCGCGATTCGATTGCACGCCGTCCCCAAATTTGAATCAAATCGACAATATATATCATTTAATCTTTCCTTTAAAAAATATATAGAATGACCCGTCGTCGACCACCCAAAACATAAGAGTATTTCTTTCATAAATAAAGGAGTTTTTTTCTTCCAAAACAAGCACCCCGAGTTTCCTTTTTTATATTTCGACAAAACCCTCATCTTGAGAAATATAAATATATATATATATATAGGTACCTGAATGCGCCAAGCTCAACGCCCACAGACGAAGGTACGACGCCGTGTTGGAGACCATGCCGAGCACAAACTCGATCGTTTCAATCGCTTGGTGGATAAACACTTCGGAAAAGTCAAACTCTTCACCATGTCCTCCATGTCCTCCTCCATGCGACGCCGCCGCGGGTGGCGCGAGTTTCGCATGGTCGTCGTCTGTTTCTTCGAGCTGTTCAAAGTCTACTTGGTGGGCGATTTCGGGGACGCCGGCAGCTTTGCCATGGACCCACTTTAAGTAGAGCGGATGGCCGAGTAGCATGACTGGTACCGACAGCATCGCCAGGAGCAAGAGAAAGTTCTGCGTCTTCTTCTGGCCGGCGTACATCGGGTCGGCCACATTGCCTGGCTGGAGCGCAATGTTGATAAGCGTGTTGATAAGCGCGGGGGGGCGGCAGCCAGTGTGCGGACCTTCAAAGTCGAACGGGCACACTTCGTGGCCCATGCGCTCGGCCCAGTTGATGAGCCACTTCATCACGATCAGCACGATCATGTAGAAGAACAAGGATGCGGCAAACACAAACTGGGGCACAAAGTCCAGCAAGAAGAGCGCGTAATCCTTGAAATACAGCGTGTTCCAGCCCTTGAGCAATATGCCAAACCCCATCTGCGTGATGCCGAGGATCACACTGAGCTTCATCTTGAACGAGTTGAAGAACAGGAGCTCGTTCTCGGACGTTTTCCAGATCGGGTCAAGCCCAAACCCGTACACGTTGCGGCCGCTCTGGACGTGCACGAGCGACGATGAAGCATTCCCGCCGTCGTAGTACGCTTCGCACTTGATATGCGCCTTGCCGAGCTCGGCGCAGTTGTCTGGGTACTTCCACTTGCTCCCAAACAAGTTGAGCGGCAGCGAGAAAAAGTCGTTGTAGACAAACCCGGCGTAGATGGCAAATGCGCCCATGAGCGTGATCATGTAGCGGCCGCCGTACAGCTGCGCCGTCATCTCGCCCACGCGGCCCCGTTCGAGGATCTTTTCCGTGGCAATCATGAACACCCCAAACAAGAACACGCAAAACCCGTGGCCAATGTCTCCGTACATGACCCCAAACAGAAACGGAAACGTCACAGCGGTAAACACGGCCGGGTTGATCTCTCCGTACCGGGGGATGCCGTACGTGTCGACAAAAGATTGAAATACTTGGGTGAACTTGTTCGTTTCAAAGTGCGTGGGCGGCACTGGCCACGGCTGGGCCACCGTGTCCACGAGGGATGGCATGGACTTGTCGTCGGCAGAGTGCGCGCGCTCGACTTCGCGGCGCACCTGGTCCAGCGCGGACTTGACGACCCAGCCCTCGCCGCGCAGCATGCCGCTCACGTCCGCCTTGAACGTGTTGAGTGTGTGGTACGTGGCCTTCTCCTGGAGCACCGACCACTTCCACGACTCGTAGTGCTCGGCCAGTTCGCGGCACAGCAGCACGCAGCTTTCGCGGTTCCGGCGCAGGATGTGCGAGCTTTGGTTGAGTTCGGCGTTGTTGCTTTGGATGAGGTTGGCGATCTAATACAATGTGTCAGAGATTGAAGCCAGGGGATATATATACAAGAGTTGTACGTACCGCGGTGCGGTCGTCCATGGAAGGCAGCGTGTACAACCGAGCGTGGAACGCATCGCAGATCTTGCGCAGCTTGGACTCGATGAACTGAGACTGGAAGAAGATCACAAACGCGTGCTTTTCGACGGCGACGCCGGTGCCGGGGTCGACGAGGAGGTCGTCGATGGCGGAGAACCGGGACAAGCAGTTGCCGCGCGTGGCGCGGAAGATCATACGCTCAAACTTGAGGCGCTCGTCCGCGGGCACGACGCCCGTGATGTTCTTGAAGCGGATGGCCAAGTCCGACTCGGAGGTCGCTTCCACGGGGGTCGTGCTGAAGTTCAACGAACTGCCGGTGCGCGAACTCACGCGGGAGTCGCGGCTACCGCGTGCGACGTCGGGGATGTCGATCTCAAAGAACTCGCCGACGCGGGAGATGATTTCCTGGAGTTCCTTGCGTTCGTTGTATTCACGGGTCAACTTCTCGTGCATATTGTTGAGTTGCAACAACTCTTGCTCCTTGTCTTCCAAGATGCGCTCCAACGTATCCAATGCACGCACCGCCGTGTCTTGGCTTCCATACCTAAGAAGGTCGTCACGTCCATGGAGCGCTATGTGTCATCAACATACCGGACGTCGGCCGAGCCAGCCAAGAAGGAATCGATGCTGCCAGCACTCTTGGGGGTGATCTTCAGCTTGGACAACTCCCCCGCGAAGAAGCGAAGTTTGCGGTCCATTTCGTCGCACCGCTTGACGTACGAGACGTAGCGGCGTTGGAACGGCGTCAACTCCGGGTTCAAGTCCGTGAACTCGACGACACCAAGGTCCCCCAGCTTCTGGACGCAGTCATGCGCGGCGTCTTCATTCACAATCAACGAGATGTACTCGACCTCTTCCGACCGAAGCCACTTCATCTTCCTGACGTGAGGCAACCAAGAATGACCGAAACTCCCCCTCAGCCATTTCTCTTGCTTTTCGTATGCTCTTACAAAATACAAGATGTCGACAAGTGGATACAATCCTGATATTTTTAGCCAGGATACTACGTCGGGGGATTAGTAGTACTAACCATTAAACTGCCATGGGACTTTCCAGCGAATAGTAATACTACTAGTAGGTCGCACAACAGCTTGATGCACTTACAGTACGGTACAGTAGTTAGTAGAAGAGCAACACGGATTAACTCTCTTTCCCCAATTACTAGTTGTAATTAGGCTTAATTATCTCCGCCGTCTACATCGTCATTGTCCTGCTCCCCATCGCTGTCACGCTCTTGAAATCGCGGGTTGACTTCTGCTTTATCGACGGGTTCTGTGACTTCGTCATCGCCAGACTTTCGCGAATGGCGAATGTTGCGGTCGACGTCTACGCTGTCGTCGCGGGCACGCTTCAGAGTGCCTGGGCGGCGGAAATGGGCAGTGGACAGTCCATAGTCGTCTTCTTTCTTGCCGTATCCGCCACGGCCAGGATCGTAGTCTTCCTTTGACCGACGATCGTCGCGCACTTGTCCACCTGACGTTCCTCTGCCATACTGCCGTCCTTCAATGAACCCGCCGTCCAAGTCGCAACGAATCACACGTTGGTCCAACTTGGTTCCGCTGATGAAGTTCGAGCATGCTTGGGCATTCTCTTTCGAGAAGTACTCGACGAAACAAAACCCACACGGCGTCTTGGTGAGTTGATTCAACCCCATGATCACAGACTTCACTGGGCCGACCACCGAAAACAGCTCGTAGATCTGTGTCTCGCTAGTGAAGAAGCTGAGGTTCCCCACGTACAAAGTGCTGGAATTCCGCATCGCTTCTTGCTGTTCCTCCAGCGATGTGAATGTGCGGCGATCCCAGTACTCCTTCTTCTTCGGACCGCCGGTGTCGGCCAGGCTCGCATACAGCTCCATCGCGCCAGACCACACCACACAATAAGAAAATCCTCTGGATAACTGAAACCTGTATAATATGATACACCGAAGCAATTCATGTATCAAAAACCCAAACGCTTGATGAATTGCTTATGATTGGCCAAAATAGATTAAGCTCTGATTGGTTCAAATGATCGCAGTTCAGAAGTATGATTGGCCCGTTGAACTCCCACAATAATCTCCCAGATCAGAACTGACATTTTGTATCGTGCAAAGTTGAGCGCATCAACGACGATGTTTCGAACCTATACTTCTAACGTTAGAAGACGATTGCATTCCCAACCAACCCTTCCTCTTCATCATGATGATAAACGAACGCGCATGATCCCGTGCCATATGTGAGCGGTATGGTATGTGGCACAGGGCTGCTGGGCTTCCCTATAAAACATCTACTGGGACGGAAACCCTCGCCCCAGGTGTCAAATCTTATGCTGAACTTGAGCCAATCACATTGGAGCGTAGGATAGTGTCATTTAGCATCGTCCACCGACACGGGCAAAAGATTTCTGCGAGTTCGTGCCATGGATTGGAGCTCCGTGTTCGACGACGATGCCGCAGCGGCAACGCATAATCGGTCTCGGGATGAGAAGTCCAAGATCTCGCTGGCTTCATCATTGAATGAAGAGGTGGAGATTGGCGAAACGCGGTCCTCGCGCGCCGCCCACCAGCTCATGTCGTTCTCCCGGTCCCTGAGCTTCAACCCCGCCGAGATGGACTCGTCGTCGTCCAGCTACACCCCCCTTGTCGCGTACTCGTTCACGGTGAATTACATCTTGGGCGTGGGCAGTCTTGGTGTACCGTACGCGTTGTACAAAGCCGGGATCGTGTTTGGGTCGGTGTTGCTCGTGGTCGTGTCGTTCATCTCGTACGTGACTGTGATGTGGGTGAGTGAAACGACTGCTCGAGCTCGCGACTTGGACGCGAAGAACTCCAAAACCAAGTTGCTTCGCGACCCGTTCCACTTTCCTGAAGTGACCACGCTGTGCGATCGCTTCCTGGGCGTCGTGGGCGCGACGTTGTACCAGTTGTCGCTGCTGGGTCTCATGTATGGAGGGTTGCTCGGGTATTCGCAAGTGTTTGTCAATAGCATTGTGTCCCAGCTGCCGTCTTCTTTCGAAAGCAGCACGGTTGTCGTAGCCGTGGTGTTTGGCTTGATTGTCGTGCCGCTCTCGTGCGTTGGTACGGTTGTCATGTTCTATGATCGGTATTGTCATCGTCTCTTAGACTTGAGCGAGCAAATCCATGTCCAAGTTGTCATGGCCATCGTGCGCTTTGTGGCGCTGACCACGATGATTGCAAGTGCCACTGTGGCGCTGTTTGTCGACACCCGAGACAGCGGTATTGTCCTTTTACCCAAAATTTGGTTGGCTTTTGATTCTTTGCCAAATCTATCCATCGATTGATATTCTTTGTACTGACCTTTGTATGTAATAATTCGTACTAATTTAATTCACACAGTAATATTCGAAGTTGAATTGGTCCAAGAGTGAATAATTTGATTGGCCACTTGATTAATGTTCTGGATTTTGATTGGTCGTATATCGATTGTCTGCTGATTTGGTGATTCTGCTCATTCGATTGAGAACTCCAAGTTCGAATCGACAATATTACTATGTCGACGTAGTATTGTCTCCTTTGACGCAATATTTGGCTGACTTTTGTGCTGATTCTTTGCCATATCTGTCGATCGATTCGTTATATGTAAAATGTTGTCCTGTGGCGATTGGAATCACACTAATTTAGGTAATTATCACGTTAATCAGATACTGAGTTCCAAAGTCCTTCTGCCTTTCTTTTATATTTTTGCTAATATATCTATTCCACGATTCATTCTCCATGTCGCTCGCTCCAGTTAGAATAAACAATATATAGGAATCACGAGTCCGATGATCGCTCAAGGCCCGCCGTACGCCAGCGACGTTCCGTGGATGAACTTGGACTCGTTTGGTTTACTCTTCAGCACCACCGTGTTTTCGCAGGTGGGTCCACAATTCCCCTAATCCGTCCTGAAGCTTATCCTCATCTGTAGCTGTTCCAACACTCGGTGCCAGGATTGCTGGCCCCGTTGGCGCGCAAAGACCAGCCCAAGGCGCCGTCGATCTTTGGGTACGCGCTGGTGACCACGACCTTGTTCTACTTGGCGTTGTCGCTGTCGTGCTGCTATTACTTTGGCCCGAAGATCAGCTCCAGCGTCAACTTGAACTGGGCGTCGTTTTCGTGGGGCGTCGACGGAGACGTTCCGCTGTGGGGCAGGTTCCTGTCGTTCTTGGTCGTGCTGTTCCCTGCCTTGGACACGCTCAGCGTGTTCCCGCTGATTGCGATCACTCTGGGCGACAACTTGGCGGCGTCACTCAAAGGCCGACTCGTGTGGCTCAGCCATAAGCGCCTCATTTGCCGACTGGTGGCGTCGCTGCCCCCGCTCGTGGTTGCTGTCGTGGTCACAGATTTGTCAGTGACCCTCCAATTTTCAGGGATCTTTGGGATTTACGTGGCATTCATTACGCCGGCCCTGTTGCAACTGTTTTCTCGGCGCGAAGACCCGAGGCTCAACGTGTACAGTGGACGGTTTAGCTCGGATGGGTACATTTTCGCTGTATTAGCATTCGGTGGCGTGGCCGTTGTAGTCGCTACGGTCCAAGTGTTTGGCCGTCCTTGATGCACTGTACCATAGTACATACTAACGTTATGTAGTCTTTTGCTTCAATAACATATCAAAAACTCAACTACTATTAACGTTAACGTTACTGTGAAATAGTGTTTGAGGATGAAGTTTGTTCAGCATTTTCAAGCTCAAACAATAAAAATTCCAGCATTTCAAATGAGAGGCACAGACAGACAAGCCTCTGACAGTGTCACGGCACCTGTGTGATTCTACTTTAGTATTGGAATCTTGCCGACACCAATCTCTCTCCGATTGGTCAATCCGAAATTACTTGCCGCTGATTGGCTACAATACATTTTGGATTTCTTGCGAAGTGGATATTAGCCAATCAGATGTCTCGGCTCGGTAAATCGACAATACATACTACTCCGAGACATCGCAGCCATAGACGAAGAAGCGGCAAGGTATTACTACTCGCTTGCCTCCACAACTGCATGATCGCTACTGGTGTGATCCACAGCAATGAATTAAACTGTGATTGCATGTTTTTCAATGTATAAATAAGGGTGCACTGCAATTTCTGCCCAATTGATATTTCAATAATTTGGCTCAATGTGATTGGAGCACTTTGGTTGTCACCTACCTGGAGTATTTTGGACTGTATGGACCAAACCAGTCCTCGGAAACCCAAAGGGTATAAGGGTAGAATATTTTCCTTAAGTATAAGTAAGCGGCCCATAGAAAAAGAATCCCATACAGGGTTGCGCATGGACTCATCGTTAGGCTAACCACGTCCAAATACTAGGCACTCGGCTCAAATGCCAACAGCTGTGCCAAGAACAAGGAAGTGGCGTATCCGATGAAGGTAACGTTATCGAGCAAGTTTGCGTCGATTCATTGCTTTGGGGTAAATTCCATTTCGGCTATACCTCAAACGAACCATACGCTCGGTCAGGGATCATCAATAATATATTAGTATTATAATATATTGCAATACGTACAATTAGTATATTGATGAGTATATGAACAATCCAATACAGTACAGTATAGTTATTATTATCAGACCACAATATTCCATACATTGACTGTATTGACCAATACAATAGGTAGGTTTTTTTAGGTCAAAGTATTGAATTTTCAGTTTACAAAATGTAAATTGGGTTGTTTACATTTCGAAAACATTATATATTCATTTTAAATTAAGATTTGTCCAACTTTTCATTCAAAAATATATTACGTTTTGCGAGTTTTGCCCAGGCGAAACCGGATTTCGCGATTTCCCGCAGCCTCCAGTGTGTTTGGGCGATGAGCAGGAGTTTTCTGGGAACAGTAAAAGCTTTTGCCAGGGTGAGCCAAATCTTCCATGAAATAGCCTATTGCAGATGCAATATGATGGTATCTGCAATAGTCTATATTACGTCGTCTAAAGCCTCCTGTGGGCAGTGGAGTTCGTGGCCGCGTGCAACCTTCCTAGCCCTATTGAGGTTGTGTGTTGTTAACATAGAGTGGCGGCGCTTTGTATAGTGAGCGGTTGAACTGTTTTGGCCACTAAATTCCCAGGAAAGTGCTGCGTTATACTAGTAGTAGTGATTTCTCAATTATTGGTTAGTCGAAATGAAGCTGCCACGAATGCTGCCAATGCAAGCAGCGAAGCAGAAGTTATTAACTTGGTTTATTCCGCTATATTTCTTCACATAAATACTAGTATATTTGTATAGATATCTCCTCGGGTTGCAGCCGTTGCAGCACCAGAAGCAGTTGCAGAATTGCCATGGGAGGCCCTTGCCACGAATTATGTATATTCAAACGATGAGACAGATACAATTGATTTGGTTTGTTTTGTCAAAGGTGGCTGCTGAACAACCATCTTGGACAAAACAACCCAAATCAGTGTAGAATCACGGCAAGCGAGTTTTGTAGCACGACAAAAGGTTTCCAATGTCGAGATGTGCATTTTGCTTGTCCGAGCTGGAGGTCGTTGCTCCTCACATTGTGAATACAAGAAGTGCAAATATGAAACTGCACTGCCATGTCACAACATCGTGGGCTCTGCCGCCCTTGTGTCGGCGTCATTTCGTGTAGTGTGGGCGACTGTGCCAAGCAGGCTCATATAGCTGGAACATGCAAGCGACTTTTTAAGAGCAATAATGTATTATACTATAATTGTACAATATATCAAATAATATATTGTTAATACTTGTATATTGATATTGTCCATTTGAAACCCATAAATAATTACTATACGAGACGGTATACGAGATCTCAAGAACAATATAATATTCACAGTACCGGTATTGTTATTGCTACAATATAATAATAATAATAATACAATATTGAGTATCTCTGGGCTCAGTAGTAAGTAATCCGCGCAACCTCAAATTACAATATTGCGTTGAACCCCAATCAGCATATTTGGTTCGTTGTGGCACATCCAGAGTTCTCTTTTTATACACCAAAGCAAGGCCCTTATTGCATTGGGGTATAACGAGCTCCTTGTTGAGCTAGGACGAACAGGGCAGAGGCGAGCGAGAGGCTGTGAAGCCAATTGAGAAGATTCTAGAGTAGATTACTGGTTGTTAAGGCTCTGATCTATGCGGTAACTTTACATGAATGGCTCACATAGCTTCCTATGACTACCTTCTAAACTCGATGTAGAGTTCTCTAACATGTAATACCTCAAGCATATGTCTACCATGGACACGTTGCTAACATTCTCAACACTCCCCTATGTTGGTTATGGGGAATGATCGGCTTCTGATTGGCCAATGTTGCTCTTGCCCGTTTTGGTAGCTGCCATTTTCGAATTTCTTTGCACCTGACTTTCTTGAGCGGCGGAGCGGACGCGGCTAAGACTTGGCGCTGTCGCGTAGCAGGCGTGGCTTCGAGCGTGCATTGTCGTGGAGTGGGCGTGGTGTGGACTAGTGAGCCTGTTGTCGCTGGTCCAGTAGTGATTGCTACTTCTCATTGCACAGTTGGGAGTTGGGCATGTCCAACTGGATTAGTGACGGCTGGTGAGGCATCCATTGCCGCGTTCTTGAACTTCATGATTGAGTCCTTCGTGGACACCTTGGTCAAGACGTTGGCAAGTTGGTCGGCGGTACCGACGTGACGGACCTCGATGGTGCTGTCGCCGATGAGTTGGTGGACGCAACACATCACCAGCTTGAGTTTCAATAACATGTAAAGCTCTTAAAGAACCTTCTCCAATAGCAATATTCATTTTAGCTGCTCTTTCTAATAATCTAGATTAGTAGTGGACGGGCACGTCGATGTGCTTGCTCCGTTCGCTCACGCCGCTGCCTTCAACCGTTGCGATGGCGGACTTGTTGTCGCACAAGGTAAGTGTCGGCATGTCTTGATGTACTCCCATCTCATGTAGTATACCTCGTAGCCAAATGACTTCCTTGGCGAGCTCCATGAGGGCGATTTCCTCGGACTCGCATGTCGACAGTGCGACGATACGCTGGCGTGCGGACGTCCACGAAACGGTGTCTGCACCAACGAAGCAGACAAAGCCAGTGATGGATCGGTGGTCGTGGCGGTTTGCCGAGCTGGCGTCGCTGTATCCCACAAGTTTGCATTCGGACGCGCGGTATGTGAGTCCATGGTTGATGATGGCCTTGACGTTGCGTAGTAGGCGCTTGGCGCCGACGTGATGCGGCTCGCGTGGGTCGTGGAGATGGCGTGACAGCCGTTACACAGCATGTGCGATGTCGGGCCGGGTTCACACCATTAGGTACATCAATGATCCTACCATTGAGCGATAACTTGACTCGTCTGCCGCTGGCTGTGACTCGTCGTTCTATAGGTCTTCGCGGTCATCGACTTAGGGCGTGTTGTAGCCATGGCAGTCGGTCATGCCGAAGCGTTCGAGAACCTTGCTGCGTATGCCTCTTGATTCATGGTGAGGGTATTCGTCACCTTGTTGTAGCTAATCTTGATTCCAAGAAGTAGGCTGCGCCTCCTTGACGATTCAGCTTCATTTTCGTCTCGAGTTCGTCGAGAATCTTGTTGGCCATCATAGCCGTCTTGGCCATCACGAGAAAGTCGTCAACATAGATGCACACCATCTCCAGGTTCTCCTCTGACCCTCACATGTAGAGGCATGGGTAGAATTGGCTTGGGTGGAAGCCAAGGACAAGGAGGATCTTGCGGCAATGCTCGAACCAGGCCTGGGCCGCTTGCTTCAGGCTGTACAGCGCCTTGATGAGCAACACCTTGCGCTTGGTGCCGTCGCCGTACCCGAGCGGCTGGTCGATGTAAAGCACGACACCCTCTTCCATCAGTGCCTGGACGAAAGCCGTGTCAGCGTCGTCTTGGAGGATCATGAATCCCTTGGAAACGACTACGGCGGCGCAGGTGCGAATGTGGCCATCTTGAGCACCGGTGAATACGTGTTTGTGTAGTTGATGCCTTCGACTTGACTGTAACCCTTGCACACTAGGCGTGCCTTGTATCGAATAACGTCGCCGTCGGAGTTGGTCTGCTTGGTGTATGTCCAGCGGGAGCCAATAGCCTTGCGTCCGACAGGTAGGTCGACGATATTCTATGTCCCTGCGTCACGGAGCTGCTTGAGCTCGAGCAGTTCGGCCTTATCCATTTGTCGCGCTCGTTGGACGACATGGCTTCGTTGTGGCTCTGGGGTACGTCATCAACGTCAGGTATGGCTGAGCAGAGCATGCGAAGTCCACCCCGTTGATGGTCATCGTAGTGGATTCGTTGTCTTGCTCCATGGCGGCGTGGCTTTGTCCCGAGTAGCGCGGTTCAAGTCGTCGAGGACGCGGTCGACTGAGTTGTTGGATTGCCGAGGTTTGTCGACGAATCTCGATGGCGTTCTGATCGTGTTTCTGTCACGTAGGGTTATCCTGTCGGTGCTCGCAGGTGGGTTGAAGTCATGGATATGCGGCCGCTTGTTGGGGCTGGTGATGGCACGAAGGTAAGCGTTGACCTTCCTGGTGTGCCCAATTCGGATCGATAGAAGTCTAACCTCGTTCGATAGAGGTCGTCCGAGATCCGCCGAGAAAGTAGCGGTAGTGGCACCTTGAAGTGACTTCGCTTGGCTGGCGGTGCTGTAGCCGCGCTTGTTGAAGGTGTTCGTGTGTATGGAGTCGACACGGATAGAGTGGCTGGGCGAGCGGATGTCTCCCCTTGAGTGAGTCTCTCTTTATCGTCATCGTCGTCGATATCCACTGTGACTAGGTACTCGTCGATTAGTGTGCGTTCGCCAAGGAACTCGTTCTCGCGGAACTGGACTTTCACGCTGGTAACCATCTTCTTTTGCTCCAAGTCGTACATATTGTATGCCATCTGGTGTTCTGCATACCTCATCATGACGCACTTGGTGGCCTTCGGGTCGCTCATTGACCATGTTGTAGGCAACGTAGCCAAACACGCGAAACTTGTCCAGGCTGGCCTTGTGGTCGGAGAAGGCTTGTATCGGGGTCGTCGTGACGTTGGAGCCGTGTGGTACGCGGTTCTGGATGAACACCGCTGTATTCACCGCTTCAGCCCACCAACGCTTCGCGAGACCGGCGTGAGAGAGAATGGCCATGGCCATCTCCATGATGGAACGGTGAGCTCGTTCTGCCGTCCCATTTTGCCATTGATTGTATGCCGTAGACGTCTCGTGAACGACACCCCATTCCTCAAGTGCTTCGTTGAAAGCGTTGGAGGAGTACTCGTATCCGCCGTCGGATCTGAGGACCTTGACCTTCCGTCCTGTTTGCGCCTTGGACCACGCCATTACTTTCGCGAAGTTGGCTTGTTGGGTGGCGGCGTCGATGGAATTGACGAAGCGAACGACTTTCATGCCCGAACCGGTGTCAAAGTCCCCAAGTACTCACAGTACGCCAACAACTACCACATCACCTTCAACAAGGTGAATAATCCGTTCTTGGCACGTGCGTTGGTCAAGGCTTTGGCGTTGATGACCAAGTGTGTAATCGCCGCGTTCAACCCAACTTCGGACCAAAACGTGGCCTCCCCGCACTTGAGGGTCATCTTCAAGACCTCGTCGCCGCCTGCGGCATTGGTCCCCAAGAACGGTCCTCCCCTGCGGGAAATCACCGTGGTCGACCCCTCAGGACAGGCCGCCACACTTGTGTTTCAACACAAGATCGCCGTGTTGAACAAGCACATTCCTCCG